CTCAACGGCACCCTGCCTCAGGTTGGTCTGCCCTGGGCACCACCACCAGCTGGTAGTGGTGACAACTTACCTTTTTTTGCTGTGTGCAGGTGAAGATCGACGCCGAGACGTACGAGGTGCAGGTCGATGGCGAGATCCTTGCCTGTGACCCGGCGTCCAAGCTGCCCCTCGCCCAGCGCTTCTTCCTCTTCTGATGTGGCTCGACTAACTATGTCTCATTGCATTTCATTTTATTTAGCATACGGGAAATGTTAGATGTTAATAAACAGATCGGATGTGGCCCCGAAAAATCTTCTTCTGCTCGTCAAGATAATAAACAAAGAGCCCCGATAAATCTTCTTCGTCGTTCTCGCACCAGTTGATGATGGAGCAGCTGCCGGACGAGCTGTGCCTGCATATCCTGCGATATGTCAGCCTGGAGGATCTTACGCTCCGATGCTCGGCCACATCGAGAGCCTTGCGCAGGATCTCTGACGATGCCGATCTCTGGCACCACCATCTGGGTCGATACCATTCGAGATGGAGGGACGCCTTGCAGGGCATGGGCGTGGACGCGACGGTGACGCCCCTCCGCGAGTGCGTGCGTTATCTGACGGAGGCTCACGACCCTGATGGCAAGTCGGGCTGCTGCTGGCACGATCTGACCAAGGGCGCCGCATGCACATGCTGCACCTGTCGGCGTCATCATCGTCCCGGTCAAAGGTGGCAGTGGGGCGTACTGAGTAGCCTCGTGAACGACATCGACGATGAGATGAGGCAGATGATCGCGGCTGCGTACGACGCCAACGCCGCCACATCCCTTCAGCTCATTGGAGACGACGACGACGACGACGATGAACGACGACGACAACGACGACGACGACGACTAAAACGACGACGGGGACAACGACGACGATACGGCGGCGGCGGCGGCGACGACGACTGCGACAGGCGCAGAGAGCTGATCACAGAGCTCGAAAGGATGGGCATCTTGGAGCTGCGCAATAAGGACGGTAGGCTGGAAAGCGTGCGGTGGACCGAGGCCGCGCACCGCGATCTGAGACCGCCACTTCAACGTGGTTTGGTGTGCTACACCGATGCTGAGCTACACGCGAATCTGATGCGGCATCATCCGGAGCTATGCGACGACACCGCCCCGTCGACCGGCTCCACGGCGCCCTCGACTTCGCTCTTTGGCGCCACCACCTCGACCTACACCTCGAGGTCTTCGCTCTTTTGCGGCGGCGGCACCTCGTCCCTGTTTGGCGGCGCTGGCACCGGCGCCGCGACCGCTTCGACTTCGCCCTCCAAGGGCGGCGGCCTCTTTGGCGCCCCGGCCGCATCAACCGGCACCATCGGCGGCGGCCTCTTTGGCGGCTCTTCGCGCTTTGGCTCCACTCCGTCCACTCCCTCGGCCACCACCAGCGGCGGCTTCCCCTCGCTCGGCGGCTTCGGCGCTGGCACCACCTCGACCTTCGGCGCCCCGGCCGCCTCGACCGGCTCTTCGCGCTTTGGCCCCACTCCATCCACTCCTTCGGCCACCACCAGCGGCGGCTTCCCCTCGCTCGGCGGCTTCAGCGCTGGCACCACCTCGACCTTCAGCGCCCCGGCCACCTCGACAGGCTCTTCGCGCTTTGGCCCCACCCCGTCCACTCCCTCGGCCACCACCAGCGGCGGCTTCCCCTCACTCGGCGGCTTCGGCGCTGGCACCACCTCGACCGCGAGCCCACTGGCCTCGGCCTCGACCCCCAATAAGTGACTACCGCAGAGCCCGCTCTGATCGTGATCCGGCGCTTCCACCGTTGAGCCAACCAGCTGGTCGTTCCTCCCGGCTTGAGTGTTTCGGTTTTTAACTCAGATTCAAACGTGTTGAGGAAGCTCGCGGAGACGCCTGTTTAACACAATGTCTTCTTAGTGGCCATCAGTTGGTGAGGGAAGGTCGTGCACACACCCGGCCTCAGTTTGGTATGGAAGTGTTTGTGTCCATTTAGGGGCATGTCTCGCCACCAACCAATCGCTTACAACCACCGCCGCTTAACCATGGTTCGTATCTCACAACTTTCGCGTGTGTGACGGCCGTACCCACAAAACAAAACACAAAAAAATTACATTTGTTGTGCCAAACGTGATTTGCCCCATCATTCCTCCTGGTTGGCGGTGGGGGCGTCGTTCTTGAGGGAGAGCTCAACCAGCCCAAAGATGCTGAGCGCCTTTTGCACGCGTTCCTGGATGCCGGCCAAAGTCAGTCTGAGGTGTGATGACTCGCTGATCATCCTCCTTTAGCCATTTCATGCGGGGCGAAGGGGCACCTTGGATCGTTCTTCGGCGACGAGGCGCTTGACGCCGGAGAGAAGGCGGAAAGGACCCTCGCACGACCCACGATGGCTCACCCGCCAATGCAAGTTCTGTAATCGCGCGCGATTTGTGCATCATTCGTCAAACTGTTGCAGCCCCGCAAAGCACCACCTCGATCGAGGTGTGGGCGAGCGTCGGCGTACCTGGTGTTCAGGGCCGCAGTAGTGGACCAGGCGGCACCCCGAGCACACGCGCAGTTGGTCCACCCGACTGCAGATGGCGCACCTCCTCTTCATCGCTGCACGTCACGACGGGGTGGGATTCGAGTGTTGGTAACTGTACGACACGACACACGCATACATCGCACGCGTGTGGCACGTACCGATTTGATTGGCGAAAGCCGAGCGCCAGTTGGTTTGGCTGCGGGCCGCCTCGAAGCAGAAGGGGAACGTGCGCAGGAAGATGGTGCGCCACAGGACATTGTCCTCCGCCAGCGTCTGGAAGAAACTCGAGGTCTGCCGCATCGCACAGGCGTCCCGCCCGTACGCGAAACCCAAAACCTGCCGGAGCGGCCGCCATCAATACTAGACGTGTGCGTGTGCGTGTGCGTGTGCTGCGTGTGCGTGTGCGTGTGCGTGTGGCTAGGTGGCGTACCCGAAGAATGATCTCCTGCGGAAGGTTCTCCAGGTAGCATTCCTCCTGAACCGCCTGCTCTGCGTTCTCCTGAGCTTCTTCGGGGAGGCCTTGCTCCAAGTCTGTGCTTTCGCTTTCGCATTCGTCTTCGCTTTCCTCTCCGGCTTCGTTATCTTCGCTTTCGCTCTGCTCGTCATCTTCGCTTTCGTCGTGGCCGTGCCCGGGCGTCAGCTGGGCGGGGGTTAGGCCACGGTGGTTGACCGCCTCTGCGTCACACCCGGCCCGGTCCCGCAGGTAGGCCACCGCGTCGTCGTTGCCCACCTGGTAGGCCAAGTGCAGCGCCGTGTTGCCCTCGCTGTCGCGTGTGTCGACGTCCGCGCCGTGGGCGCCTTCGATGAGCAGGCGCAGCACATCGACACTGTCCAGCATGGCGGCCAGGTGCAGGAGCGACTCCTTGAGCTGGCGCACCGCCTGCGAATCTGACTCCTTGCCGAGCCGCTTTTCTTCGGCCCGGACCAGCCACATGGCGACGTCGTAGTGTTCGTTCATCAAGGCGAGGAATGCGGGCGAGAGAACCGCACCGTCATCAGCTTGACCGCCATAGCTGACATTCTTCGACTTGTCGGCCTTTTGGTAGAGCATCTGGACGATGAGGAGGTGGCCGTGCGACGCGGCGGCGTGCAGCGGCGTGTGGGCGTTGTCGTAGGCTTCGATGTCGACATCCACATCCGGTTGGCGCAGCAACCACGATACGGCATCCGATAGGCCCAGCTCCGCCGCCCAGTGCAGCGCCGTGTGGCCCTCGTAGTCTGCACGGACATAAAAAGCCACGGTCAGCCCTCCAATCGGACATAAAAACTGCACACGAGGGAGAGCAGGATGTACCCTGCCAGTTGACGTTCATGTGGGTACCACCTCGCGCTTGTTGAGCGTGGTGAGCGCGTGCAGTGTGTCAGCGTCTCCGTTAACCGCGGCCCAGATTAGGGCCGTACGCCCATGATGATTGTCAGTGTCGTCCAGGTTGACGTACCGGCCCACTGCACAGTTGCGCCGAAACATTAGGTGAGTGTGTGCGGTGGGGCGTGTGTGTGCGCGCGCGACGTACACTTGTCCAGAAGGAGCTTGACCGCAGCGGTGACACCCTTCATAGCGGCGACGACGAGCGGCGTTTCGCCCCGGGCGTTGGTCCAGTTAACCACCATCTGCAGTCGCTGCACCCTGTCGTCGTGCTCCTCGCTGAGCAGACGGTCGATCAGCCGCTCAAGATCGCGCAGCTTCTCCCTGTTGATCATTTGCATGATCTGCTGACTCGTTTGCTTGGCCTGCAGCAGCAGCTTCTCGGCCTCCGACCGCTGCTCTTCCTGCAGCCGCCGGTCCTTCCTCTTCTGCTCCTTCCGCCGGCGCCGCTTGCGCTTATCCTCGCGGATGGCCTCCTGCTTGGCCTGCTGCCACTGCATCTTCTCGGCGCGGCCGAAGGGATTCACCATCCCGCCGCCCTCGAGTATGGACGCGAACGCGGGTTCGCTCCACTCCCCCGCGCCGAGCGAGTTGGCGGCGCGCACGCGAAACTGGTAGTCGCCCTCGGCAAGCTCCATCGCAACCACACAATGATTGTCTGCAGCGTCCCGTGACAGACAATTGTGACACCTGGTGAGTTCAGTAAACATCGCACAGCACACGGCTGCATACGACACGACACACGACACACGACACACGACACACGACACACGGCCACACACGACACGACACACGACACACGAACGAACCAGTTCCCTCATAGACGGTGGTTGGCTCGGCCCCGTCGGTCTCCATGCCCACGGAGTATCTGTAGTCCGCACTACTATCGAGTGGGGTCCACGACACTGCGAGCGGGGTTTAGTACGCCAACTCGAGCTTTGGGGTGCGGGTAGCTGCGCACCATGAATGCACGAGCGGATGAACTTGACGGTCGGGCAGCGCATCTTGGCCGGCGCTCCGCTGGTGATCCGAAGCACGTCGTGCTGGCCGTTCTTCTTCGCTTTCTTAGCGTCCCTTATGTCCGCCATTCCTGCATTTGAGAGAGCGGATGCGTCAGCGCACCAGCGACACGAAACGAGGGCGCGTCTTATGCAGCGGGCAAGTACTCAGCTCGTCCTTGTCCTGCTCGTGAACGCACAGGTAGAGCGTGTGGTTCCCCATGTCGTTGTAAACTCGTCTCTTCTGGGTGTCGCCGACCACGGCGTAGGCCTGTCAAAGAGAGGGAAGTGTTAACGTCATCGCACAGGGAAAGTGTCATTTGCTGGTGTTGCCGAGACCTACCTTGGACAGGAGTTGGAACATCTCTGTTGACGACTCGCTGTCGCTCCTGTCCGGATGGTAGCGCTGCACAGACGATCACGAGGTGAAGACATGAATGAGGAAAAGGTATCCATTCGAATGACCGAACAAGAAGATGAAGACGTGATGGTAGGTACGTACCAGGGCGATCTTCCTGTACTGCAGCTTGAGGGCGTGAGTGAGCTTTTCCACCACTTGCTCCTCGCGATGGGCCAGCTCCGCCATGCGGACGGACACGGCCTGCAGCAGAAACTCGTGCTCCAACCGCCGCTCGTGCACACTGTAGGCCCAGATCATAAGCATCAGCACAACAACGACGACATAAATGACAACGACAAGAACAAGAACGACGACAACAACGACAAACCTGGCCAGATAGTGCTCGGCGTCGTCCGCGCCGGTATGAGTCAAGATGGTTTCCCAGTCCTCCATGTACAGCTCTTCCTGTGCCAGGGCGTCGCCGCGCTTGGCGCGCACCTTGCGGCGGCGCGCCCGCTCGCGCTTGTCCTCCTCCACCAGCTTGCGCCGCAGATCGGCCAGGTTCTTGTTGTGCCGGGCGAGTTTGTCTCGCAACCGCTTCTCCGCCCGCTTGTCCACCAGCACACGCCCGGCTGAGCTGTCTATCGCATTGTCCGCCTGGTGCTGCTGATGGTCGTCGTGGGCGTCATCACCATCGTCAAAGACATCGTCAAAGGCACCATCAAGGCTGGGCTCGGCGTCGACGCTGACATGGAGCATGCGCAGGAGCTTGGCCTCGACTTCGGCCGCCTCTTGCTGCTTGGCCCTATACTTCTCCAGCAGATCAGCTTTCGCCTGAGCTCCGCACACGATTCACCGCGTATAAGACCTCAGTGCCGGCGACGACACGCGTGCGCAATGACACACACGCAACGGAGAACGCAAAGCGAAGGGGAAGAGGAGATGCCTGATGGTAGTGGAGGACTTTGGCGGTCTGGCGCATGGTCACCGCAAGGGTTTCGCGGGCCGCACGCAACTGCTGTTCCTCGACGACCAGGCCCACTGCCGGGTGCTCACAGTCCTTCAAACCCAGCAACTGATAGAACAGGAGTGGTTGCCCTGCGCGAGTTGGATGCGATCAATAAATCTATCGCATCTTCCAACACCAGTGTAGAGCGTGCACGCACCAGTGTTGCTCTCCATGCCGTTATGCTTGTGGCTCGCCAATCTATCTTTCTTGTGCTGTCCTTGAAGATGTCTGTGCTCCCGAACGTGAAAGTTTGAATTTTCCGTTTTTTTCGTTACGCGAATTTTGCGATGGAATGCTATCTACACATTCCTTTCGTGGTTGGTCCAATTTATTTATTTATTTTGTCACTCGAGGGCGGCGACCTCTTGGTTGAGGTCGATGAAGAACTTCTGGAAGTTCATGTGGGGCGCCGCAAGGTTAAAGTTGAGGATCTGGCCGTTGAGCTTCTTCACCTTCTTCGCCAGCCGTGCCTGCGTGGCGTCATTCTTCCACGTGCGGCTGTCCTCGAACCTGAGGCCTGCGCCGAGCAGGCTGGTGTCCCTCCCCGCCATCATCGACTCGCGCCTCCACTGCTGCTTCAAGTCGGCCAGCTCGCGCCGCAGCTCGTTCAGTTCGTGCTTGATGTCCTTATCCAGCTGCAGCCTGGATCAGCCACGAGAACACGTCCGGTCACTGCGTGGCGGTTTGCCAAAGCATGCGTCCTACGTACCAATAGGGCAGGAAGTCATTCTTCTTCATGATGCGGTACATGATGCGCGTGGTGCTATCCAGGTACGGATTGTTGTACTCTGGTTGATTGCATAGCTCCATCTGAACATGCTCAACAGTTTAGTATCTGGCGGTGAAGAGGGGGAAGGGAGGAGCTAGACTGGTTTCGTACGCACCAGGTTGACGGATGAACCCTGAAAGTTGTCCATGTCTTCTCTGATGCGCGCTTCAACAAATCCTCCCCTTTGTCACAAACAAACAAAAAAAATCAGCAATTCGTCGCAGATCAGGCATGGACCGTACCACTCGGCCAGGGACTTTGGTCGCTGAATGTCCTCCAGGCGCTCTTCCATGGACTTCTTGTAGTTGTTTACATCTTCCCTGGCCTGGAGGAGATACAGCACAAGAATCAACCCGGGTTGTGGTTATGGGTGGAACAACGAAAAGGCTGATGATCGAGCATACCCTCATGGCCCGCATGGCGCTGGCTTCCTTCTCACGAACAGACAGTGGTGTGCGGCGGGTGATGGGCAAGTACTCGACCGCTGCATTCAGGAATGTGCGCCGAAACACTGGCTGTGCAACCGATGCGAGGGCCAACACAAATCCACGGATGAGGATGAACGACCACAAACATGCACGCAGCTCCAGCATTACAAGGGCTCTACCTTGTGCTCATCGTCGGGCATCGAGCGCGCATTGCGCAGGTAGGAGGCACTGTTGGAGCGATCGCCGAACCAGAGCGCGTACTTGGTGGCCTTCTTGATGTCCCCAAGAAGGGTCTGCATCTCTTTGGCCAGGTCCGCCAGTCCTGCGCCTGCGCATCACCAAGCACGCCCACGATAAGAGCGTGCTGGGTACATCGATGCCGCAGGCTTGAGTGCACGTACTGAAGAACGCAGACTTAGGCTGGCGTGGCGTGTCGGTCGTGACCTCGCCCTCGAGCGCGGGGGACTTGGCTTCGACGTGCCGAGCGTTTGCCGGCAATTGGCCACCTTCTTCGGCCCGAGTGACCACGGTCGCCTCTTCGACTTGAGCATGTCTCTCGACTTGGGGCGAAGCAGCATAGAGACGAAGATGTGGATGATTGCAAGATTGATTTGTGGTGGGGCTGCAGCCGTAACCGCGGTCGACCAACGCAGCGCCGGCTGACACTCGCCGAAGCGAACTAGGCCACATCGATGCGGCACTAGCAGAAGGGTGAAAGCATCTTGCTCGCTGCATCTTCGGTGGTCCTTGAGCTGCTTGAAATTTCCTTGTGGAAGAGGAAAATGCGTTAGTCGACATAAACATCGCTATATCTGCGCAAGGTCATTGGACACCGCCGCTTCGTGCAGGATGGCCTTGCTTTTGGTCCACCATGAAGGGACGCCACAAGCTCTCTGTAGCGGTCGCTCTCACGGCCTATTTAGATGTTTGCCTTTGGAAAAAGTTGAGATCGGGCTACCGACCCACGAGCGTCAAAAAGGAGCGAATGTCGTCCTTCATCGTTCGGGTTGTGGGTTGGTGGATGAACGAACGACATCCCCTTCACGACTTCCCGTCGGATCCGCCGAGAGCCTACCCGACTGGCACGGTGAGTCCGTGCTGCGGCGAGTTTCAAGGTAACCAGGGCCGGGGAAATTGGGAACCCGTGAGCTGAGGGCGAGGCCGCTTCTCACAGGGCGCCTGTTGCGAGTGCCAACCCATGTAACACCAGCACACTAGTACCCAAAACTATAAAAGCACATAGCTCTAGTGCTTCACTTCACAGCTCTAGTGCTTCACACAGCACTACGCCCACACCACTGCCATCCATTCGCCCACACCCAACAACACAAGGAGTACACCATGCAGCCCAACAAGCTCGACCTTCAGCCCTGCACGCAGCCTCCCCGGGGGGAGGCCCGGGTGCAGAGCATCCGCCGGAAGATAGAGAGCGAGAAGGTGCTCCGGACCACCCTCGAGCTCACCCTCGCCCAGCTCCTTCGCGAGCAGCGGGCTCTCCTCTTCTCCTCCGCTCCTCGGCAGCGAAGCTCCTCTCTCGATCTGGCAGCAACGTCGCCACTCCACCACCACCGCACCTGCAGCCAACCCGACCACGAGCTTCGTCCGCCGCCGAGCTGCCGACCGAGAACATGCTGACGATGTCGCCCAACACGCGACGCCGAAGAGACAAGGACGAGGTCAAGCTCACGAAGAAGCGCAGGCGCATCTCCAACAAGCTCGTCAACCTCGACTACATGCTCAAGAAGCGCAGTCTCGAACAGCGCGCCGCCAGCGCGGACCTCGAGAGGTCCCAGAAGCGGCCACGCCCCTCCGAGGTCATCGTCGAGGCGTACACCAACCGCGAACAGCTCCAGGCGAGTACCATTAGCAGCGACCAGTGCCCGAGCGTGGGTTCGACCTCGCCTCGAGAGTACCAGAGTGACTGGGGCTGCTCGCCTTCGTCGTCTTCTCCTTCAGAAGCCACAGCCACCGCCCCAACGACGACGGCGTGGCTCTCCTTCGCCGAGTCCTCTTCCTCCATCTGGGCCGACCCCGGACACCTCCCGGCGCCGCAGCACTTGCCGTCCGAGCCGCTCACTTGCGAGACCGACCGGTGCCTGCAAGACGTGATACACGCTTTGACGTATGAAGAGCAATCGTCGCCGTCGGCCGTGACGACGCCGGAGGACCAACCGGATGACTGCCTGGCGTTCCTCGAGTCGGTCCTGCTGGGCTCGGGGGAAGGAGGGCTCGACGAGGCGATGATGGGACACGACGCCATCCTCAGCGATGACGATGAGTTCGACCTCTCGCGCTTCCTCGACTCGCCCTCCCTCGACCTCCTTACCGTCTGAGCCTTGCATCTACAGACTTGTAAATAGATGTACATAGCTGCCTTTTCCTAAATATCAATACTGCACGTTAATCGAGGGGGTGAATGTATCTATGTCTGTTATTGCTCCTTCTCCGAATTGCTTTCATCTTCGGGCTCAGATTGCGAGTCGTCGAGAAGCGAATCCTCCTCCTCTGTTCGCTCTGCCTCGTCGCCCGGTCGCGTCATGTGCATACCCGCGCTGCGGAAGTTGTAGCACACCTTGAGCACGTATGCCAGCAGAAGGACTTCCAGAAGGTAGAACACCCACGTCGTGTCCATCATCTTTGTTGCTTCTTGTTCTGTTTTTTCTTTTTCTTTTTGAAATAATAAATAAATGATGCTCTTTGTCGCTGCTGACAACACCTAACAAAGAGGTTGGTCGCGAAGCAACTACGATGAGGTGGACACGGCGAGTAGCTTGTCCCGGAGCTCGTCGGCCAAATCGTCGGCCTGCTCCAGCGCGTGCACGGCGTTCTACACAAGCGGAGGAACACAAGCGTTTAGGACCGCTTATGATTTGATGCCCTACAACGAAGAGTTGGAGAGAAAGGATGTACCTTGAGGGCGGGCACGTCGCAGGGAATGCGAATGGCGTCCATGATCTCCACCTTCTTACCTTGCACAATGCTACGGTGGTGGGTGTGGGTGGGTGGGTGGTAGTGGTGAGCACTACAACAGCGCTGTGGGGGCACTCGTGGCTACAAATGGTAATGAAGGCGTACTAGGTCTGGCCAACAGCCGGCATTTGGCGCGTGTGAGGCTTGGGAAGCCGGTTACGACTGACGGTGGAGGGATCGACAATGGCCCCGCCCGATTGAAGCAACCCCTGTTGCGAATCCCGCACCAGCTTGCAGGCACCGGACCTAAACGTTGTTCAGCGATCAGCACACACGGACACAGACACACCCGAGCGGGGCATATCGCGCACACAACGCAGAGAGACACGAGAGAACGTACTGATCTGAAGAAAATAAATAGAGAGGAAAAGCTGCGATTGGAAAACGTGGAACTCGACGGCGATGTCTGGCGGCAAGGCTGGCAGGAACCCCTGTGTGGCACGCGGGGTGTCGGTGAGATAGAGAGACAGAGCAGCTAGATTGGCGGGAGAGAGGTACAACGTACGCTGGGAGCAAACAAACTGTCTGGAAAGTCGTGCATCTCATAAGTGACTAGTTCCTCCCTGGCCATCCGCAGCTCGTCTTTGATTCTCTGTACGACAGATACACAACACATTCGGAAGAGGACTCTTGCTGAGTTTGCATCAAACCACCCGGGAACGAGGATTGCTGCCCACCTTGAAAGCTTCGGTAAGGATTCGCTGTTCGGCCTTGCCTTCGTTCTTGTTCATTAGCCGTTGTAGACGCTTGAGCTCGCCAATCGCCATGCGCATGTAGTTGTGGGCATTTTGTATCTGTTGTTGATGCACGTGAGCCACATTGTGCCATAATCTGGCAAGCCAGCAACCGACACGGTCGGGGTGGTGGCGTACCTGCGGCAGCCGCAGCGGATCCAGGGGCGATACTTGCGCCTTCACTGCGACCGGCAGCTTCTTGCCCCATGTCGGGTTCACCTTGATTCGCAGCTCCTGCATAGACAGCACCGGTGAATCGCACGAACTCATTCTGAATCGGCGAAACCTGACCACCGTACCGACTTGAAGACACGCCAGCCCGACACCGCGGCAAAACCTCGCACTACAGCGACGTCCCTGTTGACGTGGCCAACAACGTGCCGTGGTGGTGATTGGTAGATAAGTTGTGGCTTGAGCGACACGTGTAAAATGCTGCGCCGAAGGAGAGAGGCGAACCCTTCGGTCTTCTTGTTGAAGTCGAGCAGATAGTTGCGTTTGGGTCCCTTCTTCTCATCCTCCACTGGGAAAGAGTGAAAGAAAGCAGTGCAATCTTAGATTGTTGCACTGTAGTGGTGGCGCGTGCGGTTGGCCTAGTTGTACCTGCTGGTGGCTTTGGTTCCTCTTCCTCCTTTTCCTTGACCTTGAGGCCGTACTTGAGCATGGAGTCGAGGTTCGACGCCACCTTCTTCCGCAACCGCGCCCGCTCCTGTTCGAGCGTCTCCTGCGCCTCTCTGTTTCTGTTCTCCTCTTCCGTGTCGCCCTTGAGGTCGTCCATACACTCCTTTGGTACGTAGATTGAATACCGGCGCAAGGGTCAGCAGCCACGCACAGTACATGTCCTGAGTGCGATGGTACCGTAAGGACACGCAGCATGTCTGCGACAGCGAGCGGCACCTCCTCGGTAAGCAAGTGGTCGAGTTCGCGTGTCTGGGCGTGCATGAGTAAACAAACAAATGAAACATATAATTCTTTAAATTAAAAGATTAAAGATCAATCAAGATCAGAGCATGGTACCATGGCTTCCTTCTCAAGAGCAACGATACGCTCGTCCTCAAGCTTGCCGAGGCTCGTATCCTTATTTCGCGCCTCCTCCTTCATTCGTCGCAGAATGGTCGCTTGTGGGCTCTGCGACATCTCCATCCCCAGCTGCCTGAGGATTTCCGATTGCGTTTTATCCTCTAGTGGGTCCTGGTGATTGAAGCTCACCGGCACTGATGCGCCCCGAGTGGAGAGCAGTGCCGACGATTCAACGACACCAGAGGATTGCGTGGACAGCGATTTTCGAAACTCGTGCAACTCTGCCTCCATCTTCGCTTCTTCTTTGGGTTCGTGGCGAAATGGAGCTCCCACCTCCTCACAACTTCAGTAGCCAATCTCTGCCACGTCAGCCGGAAATAACGAAGGAGATAGCACCACCTCTCTTTCCCCAAGTGCACTTACGGGGCACCACGTGCACTACAGGCTGCGTTGCTGCTGGTGTTGCTGTTAGTGCCAGGCGATGGCGACGCTGGGGAAGTGCTGCTTGGCCTCCTCCCACTCGATACGGCTGATCTGCGTGCACCCGCCGATCTTGAGCTGCGTGATGCTCGTCCGATGATGGGCACCGCCGCCCTTCCTCTTCCGTCGGTTCTTGTTGCGCTTGCGCCGCTGACCGGCGGCCTGGGCCGCCAGCGCCTGGCCGGCCTTGGCGCCCACCAGGACCCACGGCAGCTCGCCCTCCTCATCCACCATCAGCCGTGGTTGCTCCTCCACCTTCTTTCCCTTCGCGTTCTTCTTCTTCTTCGTTGTGTGGTTGCTCGGCTCTGGTTGCTGCTCGTCATCGTTGTCCGGCTGCTTGCCCTGCAGGAGGTCTTCGACGCCGAGGTGGGTGACGTTCAGGCACTTGGAGAGGTCGAGCACGCGCAGATTGGCGCATTGCCTGAGGTGGTGCAGCCCGTCGTCGGAGACCCGCTCGCAGCCCTCCAGGATCAACTCCTCCAGCGCCACCTCGTGTTTCTTTCAGGCGAATTGTATGGAGTTAGTCAAACAGTACGCGGTGCCAACAACAAGCAGCCCGAGCGGCAAGGCAAGGTGTGGTACCTCTTCATCTCCGACGCCAGCCAAACAGGCCAGGGCGACGTCGGACAGACTCTCGCAGCCCTTGCAGTTGAGCTTCTTGAGACGGGGCATCAGCGGGAAGCAGAGATCGCCCGGAATCTCGCCGCTATCGATGTCCTCGCTCATCTTGTTGATATCCGCAGCCCGCTGGCGCCGAGGAGTCGCACGAACCTCATCCAGCGCAATGAGCGGGTAGGACTTGAACGCCTTCTCGGTCAACTCCGTGCAGCTCTCTAAAGTGCGACAGCTATGAGAACAAGGGTCGAATGGAATGGTAGACAGTACATGGAGGGCATGTGTGTATGTACCGATGTTCAACGACACGACGTGCCGCAGCTGGTTGGTGATGAAGATGAACGCGCCGTCGGTCAGTGTTTGCGGCAAGTGGAGTGTGCGCAGACTTTCGGGCGCCGAAATCTGGTCTAAGAAGAGGCCAATGATACCTGCGCACAAAGCACGCACGCCGAGATGAGTACAGCGCAGACAAGGTTGAATGAGAAAGGGAACGTTAGAGTCGACGCCAGAGCGAGGCGACTCCCCGAGTAGTGGATTTGTACCTCGCGCGGTGATGTTCGAGCACCCAGCGAGGTTGAGCGTTTCGAGATGCTCCCCAAAAGGCGTGTCGTCCAGGAATGCTTCGTCTGTGATGTTGGCACAGCCTGTAGAGGAGGCTGCGCGTGAGCAGACCTGGACGTGCTGGCAGCCACCGTTGAGTCTCGATAGGGCGTACCCTCGAGGTTGAGATATTTGAGCTTCTTGCAGGTCCCCTTGATGGCCTGGAGACCTGCGTTGCCAATGAATGATACGGCCACATCGAGATGCTCCAAGTTGACCTGCAGCTTGATGCGCGAGAATGAAGTGTCGCTGACCTCCCAGCAGCCTGAGGACATTGCATTGTGAGAAAGGCGAACACAACAGAAAGCAGGGGGGAACGTTTACCGCCAAGACTTAGGGTCTTGAGCTGCGGGCAGCGGTCAAAGAGCTGGGTGGCCGATCGATCGGTGATGCGCGGGCAGTGGGTGAGATCGAGCTCCTCCAAGCCAGCGAGGCGAGCAGCCACGCGGAGCAATGCGCTATCGCCCAGCTTGGTCACCGCACCGAGACGGAGGCTTGTGATTCCTGTACATGCATGTGTCGTTAGCAAGCGGCAAAAGGTTGATGTCGCGTTCACACTGTGTCGATGATCGTACCAGTGTTTTCGGCAATGGCCTCGAGAGCGCTGTCCTGCAGCTTGTTGCAACCAGTCAGGTCCACGGACTGCAGACACCGCAGCCGACGCGCGAGGTCGAGGACCGCCGGGTTGGTGATCTTGAAGCACGTCGCGAGGTTGAGCCGGCGAATGCGCTGGGCTCGCTTGGCCACCTTGAAGCAAAGAAGAGCAAGGTGAGGTGAGGCAGAAGCCGAGAAGAGGGCGCTAATGATGGGAAGGGAATGCTAACCTGTCTGATGAAGTGGTCGGTGATGTAGCCACCACACTCGTGCAGATCAAGCTGGACCAGGGACGAGTTGAGGAACATGACGAAGTTGGAGAGGGTGAGCTTCTTGCGCAGGGCGAGGGCGTTGAGGATCTGCAGGGCGAGGTGGTCGGGCAGCGTGTATTCGTCAAAGGCGGTGAGGAGGTAGCGGCAACGCTCGAGGTGGAACTCCTCCACGCCCTGGCACCACAGATTGATGTTGAGCGCGATCGACTTGATGCAGAGCTTCGTCAGCGTCGGGGCTTCACGTGGCAGCTTCATTATACGACTTCTTGTCGGTGTTAAAACTGGGTGGGATTGGCGTGATGCGCTAATGGTGCTGCTCTTGGAGTTGCACAGGTGGGCGGACAATTTAAGGGGTTGTCTTCACCAACTGCGAAGATTCAACAACTGCAGAGAGCTGGACAAACTCGACTGAGACCTACCGTTCTGGGGTCCTTCTCAAGCTCTCAAGATTACGCCCCCCCCCTTCCATCTGTCTTCACCAAATATCTTCCCGAGCTTTTTCCCTCTTCTTCTTCAATTTCTTTTATAATTTCTTTGTTTTCTTCGGCAAGCCAAAACGAGGTTATTCTTCGAACTTGTGGTAACGCCGGCGCTCGAGCACAGCAAACGATCGATCGACACACAGGCAGTGAGCAAGCACACGACTTTCACATTTTCGGCCACACCCGAACACCATCTTGCCGCTCCGGAGCTAACAATGTCGGCAGGTTCGCTCTCCCACTTGATTCGGGCACCGAAGGCGTTGCCTTGCCGTCTGTTGCGGCAACCACGTCGCCAGATGCTGACCGTTTCAATTCTAACCTCAAATTTGCGTTTGTCAATTCTTTTTNTTTTTTTTTTTTTGCAGAGATCGAAATGCCAGCGGTGGTGGCGGCCGCCACAACTTCCCGACCTGGTACCTCCCTCCCTGGGCACAAGAGAGCTGCAACCAGGCGGCACGCAGGCCTGCATGATGATTAGCGGTGAGCCGGCATTGCGCGTGCCCTGTGCCTTATTCTGTTATAACACGCGTGGCACGCCCGAACAGTGTCAAGGGCATGGCAGGACTTGGTGTCGGGCATCGCAAGCGGCGTGTCCATCGTCGTAGCTGGCCATCCTCTGGACACCGTACGTCTGTGTGCGATGTTGGGTGTCGTGCTTCATCAGTGCACTTATGTTCAGTGGGCATTCGTCAGATCAAAGTGCGCCTTCAGACACAACCCATGCCCAAGCCAGGAGAGGCGCCCCAATTCAAGGAGTCATCGATTGTGCGGCCAAAACCATTCGACACGAAGGGGTAATAGCTACGCACTGACGCATCCGCTCGCCACGGCGTCCGATTCTAAGGGTGTATGTGTGCGTTGTTGCGCAGGTGCGAGGGTTGTTCAAGGGGATGGTGAGCCCACTTATGGGCGTGCCTCCAATCTATGCTGTGGTCTTCGGCGTCTACGGCAGCACCAAACGGTGCTCCTCCTCTTCCTTTGTTCCCAGCCGGTCGCTGGCGAGTGCTTACCCAACTTACGGTGTGCCGGCGAGCAGGTTGATGGGTGAAACGGCGGACACTCCACTCGCCATCAACAAGATAGCACTGGCCGGAGCGATCACTGGCCTTGCCACTGTGGTGCGTGATACGGCGCAAGCAGACCTTGTCGTTTGTTGTTCACTGTTTCCCCTATCCCGTTTGCAGGCGTTCGCAGCACCTGCCGAGGCGATCAAGGCGCGGCTGCAGGTGCAATATTCATCAGCGGCCGGCTCGGCCCGCTACTCGGGCCCGGTGGATTGTGCCAAGCAAATGTATCGAGTACGTAACACCTCACCGACGACGACCCAGGCGGCAACCGGCAGCTAAGGCCTAACTTTTGTTGGACTGCGACTGGGTGCAGGCAGGTGGTATTCGGGGCGTGTTCAAGGGCACTGCCATCACAGCGTATCGAGACGTACCCGGGTATAAGCTGTCTCACATTCCATGAGAAGCAGCATCGCCACTCGTTCTAACCTGACCGCCACCAACAGAAACGCGATCTATTTTGGAGTGTATGAGATGGTCAAGCGTTGCTTCATCCCCGCTGGTGGATCGGCTCGGGTGCGCCACCTCACTCACTTCGTTCGGTTTCTCATCTCGATGACCTTATATTGATCGCTTGTGGTCGGGGGTCTACGACAGGACGTAGGGCCGCTGCCCATGATGTTGGCCGGCGGCCTTGCCGGCACGGCCACCTGGTTGACGGTGTATCCTTTGGACATCGTCAAGTCGAGAGTACAGATCGATGTGACGGGTATTCTCTCTTTGCGCTGTGTGTGTGTGTATGGTGTGTGGGAGAATGGCTTTTCTATATATATATATATATATATTAGAGCGAGAGATGCATAGTGCCCAACTCTTATGTACCTATGTGAATGTGAATGTGGATCACGTACAGGCAAATATGCGCATGGCCATCGAGGACTGTGGCAGGCGTACAAAGAGATCGTGGCCGAATCGGGAAGCGTGCGGGGACTCTACCGCGGCATCACCCCCGCCCTCCTTCGCTCCTTCCCTGGTACCTACCCTCTCCCATCATCACCATCAGCACCAGCTTCCAGAACACTTGTGCGCACTCAGCTCACGTAATTGTCTGTGCGTGTGTCGTGTGCGCACAGCGAATGCCGCGTGCTTCTTGGGCTACGAGATGTCCATGCGACTGCTCCACTTCCTCTCCCCATCGTGATGCACAGCACAGCGACATCACACAAACAAAACACACTGGCGTCGGCAAGAATCGATTGAACACACTGGCGTCGGCAAGCTAATAAGTTGTTGGAATCTTGTCGACTAATTACGCCGCAAAGGACAACAAGAGAGAAGGGAGCCTTTGAGCAACACGGTGGTTTTGGGCATCCGACACACCACCTCCGGTACTACTCGTAGTCATTCGCCAGTTCACTCTCTCTTCTACGGCCTTCCTTCTTTTCAAAACCCACCGCTTTTTGAACGAGGTACAGTTCCGAACTCATCTTCTTCTTCTTGTCCGTCGTTCGTTCTTCCTTTTCTTCTTTGTTAGTTCGTCATCCTTCTCCGGCAACCTCCGTTTCGATTCATCACTTGTCACCCCTCCTTGTACTCTCTCTCTCTTCTCTCTTCTCTCTTTTGCTTGTTGTATTGCTATACAACGGTCGCACAGGCCTCGCACTTGTTTCTCATTGATTCTCTTTCTCTTTCCTTTCAATCAAATCAAATCAAGACGCAGTTAGTTGCACACAAGAGGACGCACGGAGAGGAAGATGGCGAAGCGGATCAACAACCCCTTCTTGGCACTCGACAAGCAAAAGCAGGAGGAGGAGGAGCGCAAGCGACGCTACTACGAACAGAAGATTCGTGAACGCCAACAGGGCGGCGGCACGACGAGCAGCAGCCCCGACCTGTCGTCTTCGCTCTCGTCCTCAGCCACAGAAGATGTCGCCTCGAGGCCCGTCGGCACTGTCGCCAACGGAAATTCCGCCGAGTCCACTCATTCTGTCGACAAAGAAAAGGAAAGAGAAAATCAGGAAAAGGAGAGAGAAACGAAGGAGGCCGAGGAGCGGCGAGGCAACGTGAAGGAGGAAGAAGAGGGCAGCCACAAGGAGAAGGAGGAGGAGGGCGGCCACCAGCAGGAGGAGAAGGATGAGAACGGGGAGACCGAGGCCCAGCGCCTGGCGCGAGAGGACCGCGAAAGGCGCGAGCAGGAGAAGCTCCTGGTCAAGGGCGAAGTAGAGGAGAAGAAGCGCAGCAACCCTTTCCTCTTGCTCGACCGTGAAAAGGTACCTTCTTGCCAAATGTTGCAAATTTTTTGTCTCTTCCTACTTTCCTCCTTCGCACATGCTACACGATGGAGACGTGTACTGACTCGACATGCAACGTCGACGTTGCCTCTCCACATACAGCAAAAGCAAGAGGAGGAGCGCAGGAACCGCTACCTCGGTGGTCGTGGCACGTCGCAGCGCGCTACCAGCGAAGTAGCAACCACGGCCGCCGCCGAGCCTGCCGCGGAGCAGGAGCAGGAGCAGCAGAGCAACGCCAACGATGACCACGCTGTCGAGGCCGACGAAAGCGCTCCGGCTGGTGGTGCGGCGGACGTGGACGCTGAGCTGCTCGAAGAGGAGGAGAAAGAGCTGGCCCGCCTCGAGGAGGAGAAGCGCAAGGCCGACGAGCTGGCCCGCCTCGAGGAGGAGGAGCGCGAGCTCGAGCGGCTCGAGGCCGAAGCCCGCAAGCTGAAGGAGGCCCAGGAGGCCGAAGAGGCCGAGCTTCGCAAGCTCGAAGAGGAGGAGAAGGAGCTCGAGCGTGAGAAGGCCCGTCTCGAGGAGGAGCGCCTCGCCAAGCAGCAGAAGCAGCAGGAGGACGAAGAGGCCGAGCTCCGCAGGCTCGAAGAGGAGGAGAAGGAGCTCGAGCGCGAGAAGGCCCGCCTGGAGGCTGAGCGCCTCGCCAAGGAGCAGAAGCAGAAGCAGGAGGAAGAGGAGGCCGAGGCCGAGCTGCGCAGGCTCGAGGAGGAGGAGAAGGAGCTCGAGCGCCTTGCCAAGCAGAAGCAGCAGGAGGACGAGGAGGCCGAGCTCCGCAGGCTCGAAGAGGAGGAGAAGGAGCTCGAGCGCCTCGAAGCCGAAGTCAGAGCCCAGCAGCAGCAAACCGCGGCCGCAGCGGAGGAGCAGCAGGCCGACGACGACGAAGAGGCCGAGCTGCTCGCTGCGTTGGAGGAGGAGGAGCGCCAGTGGCAGGAGGAGCGTGACGCCGAGCAGGAGAAGATGGTGCAGGAGCTGAACGAGCAGAAGTCGCGCCTGGCCGAGGAGGAGCGCGAGGAGGACGCGTGGGAGGTGCAGGACGAGGCGACCCGCGCCAAGCGCCGGGCCGACCACGCCGCGTTCGACGCGCGCGAACTCGAGTGGGCCGACGCCGACGACGCCGGTGCTCGCCAGCGCGGCGACAAGCGCCAGGCGGCCCTGGCCGAGATCGACCGTCTCACCGCCGACGAGGAGAAGGAGCGGGAGAAGCTCGCCAAGCTCGAGGCCGAGCTGCGACAGCTCCTCCAGGAGGAGGAGGAGAGCGATGGCGCGCCCACGCCCGCGCCCGCGGCGGCGGCGGTCGAAGCAAAGCCCGTCGCGCAGGCCGCGGCCGGCAATGATGAGGAGCTCAAGCGGCTGCAGGAGGAGGAAGATGAACTCAAGCGCCTCGAGGAGGAGGAGGCCGAGCTCAAGCGGATGGAGGACGAGCTCCAGGAGCTCGAGCGCAAGCGCCAGCGCGAAGCCGACCTGGAGCGCGAGCTCGAGGAGATCATGGAGATGGAGGAGGAGCTGGCTCGCCTCGAGGAGGAGGAGGCCCAGCTGGCCGAGATGCGGCGCGTCGAGGAGGAGCTCAAGCAGCTCGAGGAGGAGCAGCGCCTCGAGGAAGAGCGCGTCGAGAGCGAACTCAAGGAGCTCATGGCCCGCGAGCAGAGCCAGCAGCAGCCGTCGCCCGCCGCCGCGGAGGAGACCGAGGAGGAGCGCCTGCGCCGCGAGGAGGAGGAGCTGGCCCGCATGGAAGCCGAGCTGGCCGCCGCCGAAGCTGACGTGGCAGCGCCCGCCGCCGCTGACTCGACGTCTACATCGACGCCTGCGGCCAGCGCCCCCAATCCCAATGCCGGCGGTGTGGCCAACAAGCCCAAGACGCAGAAGGAGAAGGAGGAGGCGTGGCGCAACAAGATCGGGTCGGGCGACGACGAGGGCGGATCGAAGGCCAAGGAGGAGGAGATTCGCCGCAAGAAGGAGGAGGAGCGACAGCAGCTGGCGCGCAACGCCAAGGTGGGTCGCATCGCCTCCATGTTCACGGGCGAGGTCAAGGAGCGCGACAGGGCCGAGGAGGCGCGCGAGAAGGAGGAGGAGATGCGCCGCATCGCCGAGGCCGTCAAGGAGCGCAAGCAGGAGAGCGCGTTCCTCAAGGGTCCCGACGACGACAGCGCCGACAGGCACCAGAAGGAAGTCGAGCGCGAGGAGGCCCTCCCCAAGACGCCGCGCAAGAACGTTGAAGAGGAGTGGAAGAAGAAGGTCGAGCAGGAGGAGAAGGAGAAGCGCGAGAAGGAGGAGCGCGAGAAGCAGCAGAAGCTGGCCAACCGTCGCAGCGTGAAGATCACTGAGGAGGACTGGAAGAAGAAGATCGAGGAGGAGGAGCGCGAGAAGGAGCGGGCCGACAGCGAGGCGGCGCGCAAGAAGGAAGAGGAGATGCGCCTCATCGAGGAGGAGCGCAGGCGCAGGAAGGAGAGCGGCGGCGACGCCCCGGGGTCGACGACGACGTCGGAGCCGCACCCGCGCGAGACGGTCAAGGCTGGAACGGTTATCGAGCGCGGTCCCCACGGCGGCGTCCAGCGAGCCGCGTCGGCGCCCTCAATCCCAGCAACCACGGCCGGCGGCGGCAGCGGCATCCAGCGACCGGTGTCGGCCGCCCCGAGCCCGGCCACGGCCAACAAGAAGATCACAGTCCGCGGCGATGCGTGCGCCGTGTGCGCCAAGACCGTCTACATCAACGAAAAGCTCTCGGCCGACGGCAAGATCTTCCACAAGCTCTGCTTCCGGTACCCAACAGTGTTAAACGCAGTGTGTGCGGTGACGCGCTTTGTGTGCACTCGCTGACTCTGGTATGTGATCATCGTTTGCACATCAGATGCGCGCACTGCAACAAGACCCTCTCCCTGGGCAACTACGCTGGTCTTGAGGGCAAGCTCTACTGGTACGCTCCTCTCCTCTGCAAGCTCTCTTCCTCTTCCTCCAGGTATACTTAATCTACTCCCCCTCCTCCTTGTAGCAAGCCGCACTTCAAGCAGCTCTTCAAGCTGAAGGGCAACTACGCGTCGGGCTTCGGCGGCCAGACGCCTGTGGAGGAGTGGAACCAGCAGAAGTCCATGCGCGCTCAACAGCAGTGAGCCCCGCACACGCCCCACCAAGTACCATTATTATTATTATTCTTATTTATTTGTTCTATCCTTTGAACACAATACAAACTCTCCTTTCCCAAAGCTGCTGCACGCTTCAGGCCTGCTCCATCTTGGAGCAGCCACAGATGTTGCCACCACATGTGATGTTGTGCTGTGGAGGGCGCTCACACCTACGCCACCATCCAAGAGTACACTGTAAGGCTCAAGTAGGGGTCATAACAAAGAGTTGTTGTTTGTCGTTAACGTTGCAGGCGCAGGTCACTTGTCATTGTTCTACTGCTTGAGCTCGCCGCAGTCCGAGATCTTGATGATCTCGAGGGGCCTGTCATTGCTGTCCCTCCTGGCGGCCTCGATCTTCTGGACGACGTCCATGCCCTCCACGACCTTGCCGAACACGACGTGGCGGCCATCGAGCCAGGGAGTGGGCACGGTGGTGATGAAGAACTGCGAGCCGTTGGTGTTGCGACCAGCGTTGGCCATCGACAAGGTGCCTGTTGTGTGTATCGTGGCGGTGTTAACAACACAGCAGTGGCTTTGTAGGAGGAGCCTTGAGTGGTTGGTGCGGAGGAATACCAGGCTCAACGTGCTTCATCACGAAGTTCTCATCGGCGAACTTGGCTCCGTAGATGGACTCGCCACCAGTGCCCTGGGGGACGGCATACGCCATGAGTTACGCAAAGTACAGCAATGCTGCGGTTGGCACGGCGCGTCGAGCAGGAGACAACATACGTTGAAGTTGGTGAAGTCGCCACCCTGGATCATGAAGTTGGGGATAACGCGGTGGAAGATGGAGCCCTTGTAGTGCAGGGGCTTGCCAATCGATCCCACGCCCTTCTCGCCTGCACTCGCCACAAACACAGCCGGGGTAAGGCACTCTCACCTCTGGTGCAGTGGGGAGTAGGGAGTTAAAGTACCGGTGCAGAGAGCCCTGAAGTTCTCGGCGGTCTTGGGCGTCTTGTCCTTGTAGAGCTGCGTGCATCAAATGAATGAATGAATGAATTAATAATCTCATTTGCACAATTTAGACGAGAGCATGACGAATCAAGCAATTTGAACGATTTTGGTAATGTTGACTTCCGCAGTAATGGATTGCAAGCGCGGCACTAAAGCAGTACTGGCCTGTCCCAGTTTTAGCGCCAAGGGAGACGTGATCGTACCTCCATCACGATTCTGCCGAGAGGCTTGTTCTCGCGAG